CCTTATGGTGTTGTTTTTAATATCCTGCTATATGAACGCTGCCGCACCCTGTATTTGTTCATAGGGATTAGAAGGTATTATATAATTTTTAAATTTTAAGCAGGGTTATACAAAGATAAATAAACAGTTCATAGCAGAATTTCTTATCCTAATTTAGAATTATATTTTACAATTATCAAATTAGTTATTTTTTTGATTTAGGTAGGAAAATTTAATAACAAGAAAATAAAGATTACTGTACTTATGCAAATATCACTAAAATACTTAATTATTTCAGTGATAACAATAATTCAGTGATTCAGAACACACATTCAGAGATTATAAACAAATTAAAAAATTCAGAATGCTACCAAACTCCTCGTAAAGATATGGAGGTAACTCCCATTTTATTAAAATTTTTCCTGAAATAGTTATTTGAACTTGGCAAAAAGGCTTATATAACAGAAAATGCGACAAAACTAATCAGATCCCATCTTCAGATTTGTCCTAACGTATCATCATCATCATCACACAATATTTATTTCTTCACCTCCCACTTGAAATTGTAGTTCTAAGAGCCTTTTTCATCTAGCTAAAGTTTGTTTACTTTGCGAGCTTACACATTTTGGCGATTATATGCCGATATCGTAATCGTAATTTCTGTCCTTATATTAGATGAAGCTATATTTAAAAGTGAAAGCTGACAGGATCAGACACTTATGATCCAATCTTAAATCATTTAGAATAATGAAAATACAAAGTGCAGGCTAACGGTACCAAACTCGCATTAAATTAGTCCTCATATGTGCAGAAAGTACAGAAGTCGGCCACTGTAGTTGTTAATAAAGTTTTTTAAAAAAAAGTCTGTAAAGTGTCTTATAAAGCAAAAAATAGCTAAGTACACATTATTTTAAAGGTTAAGACATATTTGTTTACACATATTATATATATTTCTTATGAAATTCAGCAGAGAGATAAAGGGAAGGGTGAATTAATAATTATTTTAAAAAACAATTTTCTGAGCTACTTCAGATCTTAAAAGATGGTTTTCTTTAGCTTGTCATTAACTTATATGACAGACAAAGTTATGACATTTAGAAATAAAGTCGGTTTCCAAAGAATTATAATTTATGATTTTTTAAAATTCTTAAACGCTTTTTTAACCTCGATTAGCAACTCTTATTGTTTTCAGTTTGTAATAAAATAGTTTCCATTAAAAATAGATGTTAGCATCAAGATACATACGATTTTAATTTATTTTCGATGTTTCAAAGGGCATCGTTCATTAGCGTAAATTAATCATTAAAAATAATTTTATTTGAACTTCCTAGCAGCATTTTGCTACAACTACTATTTCTATGTCTTGCGTATTATAAATCAAATAGGTTTCTAAGAGCGGAATGGTAAAATAAATTATAATTTTAATTTCAGCGTGTGTTATGATCTTCCTTGAAAATAAAAATCGAATAATTATGACGATTCAGTGACATATAGATTTCAAGTCTCTGTACACATTTTTGTCCCTATTTCTTTAAAACGTGCTCGAACGGTAATGCAATTTTGTAATATTTTGATATTTTTCAGTTTAGACCACATTACATGCAAAAAAGAAACGCAGAAACAAACTGTGCAGTGTTTAAATTTTTTTGAGTTCTAATAGTTTTCAACATTAAAGATTATACTTCATGAAATGCCAATAGTAATTATTATTTTTTATTTAAGAAGAATTATGAAATAATTGTGTGATTATTTCAATGAAGGCCCACCAGCGGCCGAGCGGTAAAGTCGCTGAACACTGGTAGTTCGGTCCGAGGTTCGAATCCCGCGAACGGGCTGGCTGCATGGGCGTTTTCGTGGTTTTCCCCACATGTGACGTGTATACGAGCCAGTTTCCCTTAGAAAGTCCTCCACGAAGGCATCCCTCCTCTTAGGCAGATAGCCCTCGAGGCTTTGCCATAATCACACACACACATTTCAATGAAATTTTAATGGTAAACGCACTTAGACAGTAATCGATAGTTTCTGGATTACACTATTTAATTTTTTTAAAATTTAATTTATAAAACAACCAATTAAATTTTTAACAGCATTTATAATTTTATAAAAGTTTAATTTTCTCAGTTATCTCCTTTTGCTTTGTTTCCTCAGATTTTACTGCATATATAAACTTGAAAATATTCCTATGCAATCAAAAGAACAAAATTTTTTATCAGTCTTTTTCTTTGGAAAATTAGTAGATAATGATGTCTTGAAATTATTTTCTATTTCCAGAGCAATTCAGCACTCTATTGAGTAATTTTGATTTAAACCAGAATCGAAACAAGCTAAACGGAAATTAAAGTGGAAAAAAAGGTTAAGGTCTCGACTAACTTCCGCAGCAAACGTTGTAATTACCATGGCCGATTCTAAAGTAACCACTATGCTAGCAAACCTCGTTATTGGTAAGAATATCAACCAGGGTAATTTTTAAGGAACATATAGAAAAGCTACCTAAGCAATAAAATGCTGAAGAGCGATTAGAATTCCAAATCCAATCGAAGACAAGTCAGAGTAGCAAGATAATATATTGTACTTTGTAATGTCACACGCAGGCAGACTTTAGAATCATTAGCAAAAGGGTCATACTTCGAGGTTTACATTCTGCGCGTATGATCGCTTTCGGAGAACGCAAAATACCGTAGATTAGATAACAGTCTAACTGTCAATTTCTGATCTTCTTGCTTTTGCAAGTTACAATTTAATCGCCGAAATGATTTTCAAAGATTTTTGCGGTGGAGAGACACGGTGACCCGGCAAAGATGCGAACGTTAAAAGCAAATTAATTTCTGGTTTGACTAGGTGTGCCTCTGAGCAGTATCATTAAGCCTGAAGTTCTTTTGGTGGATCAATAACTAATATTTCATATCTAACGATACACTTATATGCTAGTCCATTTCTTCTACAATAGCAGAGATTCTGTGCTTACGGATTCGTCCGCATAGAAAGCATTCAGCTGAGAAACACATGTTAGGTAAAGATATTTTTCACATGGAAAAAAAAAGCCTGTCAAATTAAAAACCTATATAGCAGGGGTAGGTCAAAGAAAGAAAAAAATGTTATATCAAAATCTATGTTAGAAAAATATCATTTAAAGTCATAGAAATCCACCCCGTACTCATTTTGTGTTTCGATCAACCGTTCGTCAGGAGTTAGGTACATAAATAGCGTGAATAACAATGTCACTGGAAACACGGGTTCATTTCACGGCTATCAAAGACCCCTATTAGAGAAATACTCTGCTTGAGCGTTTTAATGAAAAATAGTGACAAGATTAGTTAAAAGGATAATCATTTTGTTGAAATGCTCACCAGCGGCTGAGCGGTAACGTCGCTGAACACTGGTAGTTCAGTCCGAGGTTCGAATCCCGCGAACGGGCTGGCTGCATGGGTGTTTTCGTGGTTTTCTTCCATGTGTAACGTGTATACGAGCCAGTTGCCCTTAAAAAGTCCTCCACGAAGGCATCCCTCCCTCAAGGCAGATAGCCTCGAGTGCTTTGCCGTAATCCAATAAACCAAACCAATCCATTTTGTTGAAATAAAAATAAAAGTTTACACCTCTTTATTGTTAGATCATTTATCTGCGGTCACGAATGGTTAGGTTAGGTTATTTAATTACGGCAAATCCTCGAGGGCTATCTGCCTAAGGGGAGGAATGCCTTCGTGGAGGATTTTCTAAGGGAAACTGGCTTGTATACACGTTACACATGGTGAAAACCACGAAAACGCCCATACAGCCAGCCCGCTCGCGGGGATTCGAACCTCAGACCGAACTACCAGTGTTCACCGACTTTACCGCTTGGCCGCTGGTGGGCGCGGTCACGAATGAAAAAGCACTTTTCGGCTGTTACTGGCTACAAAAATCAACATGCTTTGATCACTTCTCGGAACAAAATTGCTTTTGTAAAATGTATTTAATCACTTACATAAAAATATATTATAGTAAATTTATGCAAATATACATTTGGTTTATTTGTTTTTATCTTACTGTATCGTGTTTTAATTTTTTTTTGTAATATTGTGAATTTGTTTTAAATATTACTTGTTTACAATAATGTTATGCATATTTCTTGTAAACTTTATTTTGAGCTTTGTAATTTTACTTTCATGTCTTCAAATTATTTATTTTGTAGAGTGTGGATTCTGTGAGTACAAATAGAACTAGAGATATTAAGTGTCTACGATGCCCTTAAATGCCCTCAGATTGCCCAAATTTGTCAAGGTTTGGCTGTGGACTTCCGGGAAGATTCCACACATGAGTTCTCGTAAGCTTAAAACATCTTTAAACGAGTCTTGCAGGTCCGCGATCTATTTTTCTTCCTCAGTTTAGAGAAGTTTTGTGACAGAAGCTTAAGAAGGCATGAGGGTTAGTTTAGTCAGCTTAGGTAATTCAGCGCTTTAGGTCAGTTTGAATGCTGGTACACTGCGTTTTCAGTCTTTGCTCAGATGGCTCAGATGAGTTTACATTTCCGTAGCCATTTATATAAACTACGCAGAGAATTTTCGATTACAAATAAATTTGTAACTTTGAAATGGAATATATAGTAAATCATTCCTGTGCCAAGGTGAGTTAAAGATACTTCTCATTTTTCGTTAGCTGTAATCTTCATTTATTATTAAAAACTACGCAAGAAGTAAGTATTACGTATGAAGTTATAATGAAGATTTAATTCTTTTTTTAACTCTGGTTATTCAGGAGATTTACAAGAATGATAAAAAACAGGCAGCGATATTTATAAATATCATTCAGATCTGTCTGTGATTAATTTTATATGAAAAAAAAAAAAAAAAAAGAACGTTTTCACAACTAAGAACATTCAAGAACGGATTAGTTTCTTTAAGGCACTATATCAAAATAGAAGAAAATTATTAGTTAAAATAAGCCCATTTTCTGTGCCAGTGAGTGAAGTTATTTTACATATTTGTTTATATTGATCATACGAATTAGAAAATAACAGAATAAGTGAAATCGAGGGTTTTACTTACCAGCCTGCAGTGGTAGCTGACCATGTAGCAAAATATGATAAGGAGGATAAGAGCTCTGCATTTTAGCGGCGTGCAAGTTTTGCTGCAAACATCAAAAGAATAACAATAAAAAATACTCAAAATTAAGAAGGAAACAAAATTGTTTATTGTTTATTATTGAAAATAAAAACAAAATTTTTATTTTCCGATATAAATATTACGTCTGGCTATGTTTAACCTAATAACGATTTTGGAGTTTGTTGACAATTAAGTCATGAAGAATCAGCTGAAGCTATCCGCAAGATGTATAACGGGGAAAGAGCATGCCCCAGAAGAGTCATGTTTTTCGAATTTTTTTACTGCCGATTGAAAAGGTAATCGTACAACTAACTGAGAGTTTGTATACACATTCTGATGAAAATGTCAGTGAGCGAAGAACTACAGTATTTACATTAGTCGGGAAAACTAGGCAAATTGTCTAAATATATAGGTATAAAGAAATTTTAATCAATTTCTTTAATAGCGATGTGGGTTATTTATGAATATTTGTATTTTAAGTTGTATTTCAGTTTTTTAATTAAAAAAAAAAATTCTAAAATTTTCACTATTTAAAATTTATGTTTTGCAGTACTTTCTATAATTCAAACAATTTTCCTGGGCCTCATTATTTTGAATTAATAAGAATCCACATGTATTTAAATACGTGCATAAATTATGCTCATTCTTTATATTGTTACGAAATGTACAGGCGCGGTAAGATGGCTTCCCCGCAAAGCAGTTTTAGGGTTGCCATAAAATGGCAAGGGAAAGCATGGTTGCCACATCTGGCAAGAAATCTCCCATTTGGCGACAAAATTGGCGATATATTATGGACGGATGGAGAACCTTCTGGAACGAATTCTTACCGGTTTAGCCCAGAATGTGCTAAACACAAGCCGAAAGCTATATAAACCCTGCTGGTCCGCAGTCAGTTAGTGTGTGTGACTCATCTAAAGTGCGAGGTAGTTAGTCAGTCCGTGCGGAGTCGATCGAGTTGACAGCCGGGCAGCGAGTGCCGAGTGCACCGAAAGAGTCTCGTAGTGCATCGTCGAGAGAGCGCGTTGAGCTCCGGGAACGACTACACCGAAAAGTCGGGAGCTGTACTTTGGTGCTTTGCAGTGAAGCTGTCTCCACCATGATGGCCTGATAACCTGGGGCTGTGTCGCTGATCGTGTCGGCGTGTTTATAGTAGCTCATCGACGACTGTAAAGTGCCACTAGCTGTCCTGATAATACTGGCCAATAAAGTCTGTTTCGATACTTCATCAAGTGTCGTCGTTATTCACTCCAAATCCACACGAACCCGTACGAACGTGAAGAAAGAAAATAACGTAACAACTGGTGTCAGAAGAAAAGAAAAACGCAACAATATTTTGTGAACTATAAGCTGCTTGCGCGGCCAGCCGAAGAATGTAGCTGTTCTAAAAGAGAAAATACATAGAATGGTTTTAAAGAGTCCAGTCACTGCTATTTCACATATCCAGGTAGTAAACTTATATTAAACAAGGCAAAGAAAAACAAAATCGTGTGTGCCTTGGACGCAGATAGCTGAATAATGTTCACATTTACATTGTATTAAGTGTTGCTATACTTTTTCCATTTTTGATATTTTTTATATTTGGGGATATAAACTGATAAAAGTATCCGGATGATGAAGGTATCAAAATTTATTTTGGGTATTTTCACCGGTAAAAATTGTTACTGTTTCGCTTGGTTTGTTATTCAAAATCAAACGGATTAAATTCGAAAGAAAAATTAAATATCTTACTACTACTTCGAATGATAAAGCAGATAAAATTATTTTATTTCGGCTAGTGGCAACACATTTCTCTTGAGTACAGATTTTCTGATTTAATTCAAAACACAAATAAATATGTTACTTTTTTCCAAGTGACAAGTTGCTTTTAAATGGCGAGTTTGGGAATGAAAATTTCCGAAAGATTGCACGAAAGATTTAAAAAAAAAAAAAAAAAAAAAAGAGAGGTTAAATTTAGAATTGCGGTTTAGACTACGGGTGTTTGAATTTTGGCGGCTCCAAGTGCCACCGAGGAACATACATATATGCATACATATATAGAGATTCTTCATTATTTAATAATAGTGATGAACAAATTACCTGGCACAAGTTCCATCAAATAAATCCGAGAAAAAAAGTAGCATCAGAAGCAGGTAAATGGCTAACATGAGGAGCAAAAGACCCAGTTTCAGCAGATAATGAACTTTTAAGAAAGAAACGCAGGCCACCATTGTCAGAATCCAACTCAGCACAAAGTACTAGGAAAATGATATTAATTCGGAAATATTTGAAACTTTCCCAAGTAAGGAAACACATCTGAATACTTTATTTACTTAAAAAGTTTATAATATAAACAATATTTTCTACGTAATTAGTTTTTGAATTAAGCTTCTTTAATTTTTAGTTACAATAGTAGCAGTTATAATTCAATTTCAAAAGCATTCATTTTCAAGCAATTATGAAATTGAAGAATTAAATTTAAGACAGTTATAATAAAAATGAAATTAAATTTATTAAAAAATATTCTAACATTTTAAAGTAAGGGAATACAAAATTTAAATATTTTATTTGCTTTATAATATAAACATTATTTCCTACATAATTAACTTTTGAATGAAGCATCTTTATTTTTCAGTTATAACAACAGCAATTATAATTTCATTTGAAGAGCATTCATTTTCAAAAGCAATCACAATTTCATTTCACTTACATAGTCATTTGCAGTTATTGGATGGCACTTAAATCACAATGAGTTCATTAAGGTTTCAATATAGCATATATCAAGTGTTCCCCATTTTACTGGAAATGTATGTCAAAGGCGTTGTGTAGCAAAACAGTTATTTTTTAAAACTGAGCTTTTTATTTCATGTGGAGCAAAACGACAACTTCGCAGGTCAAGCTTTATTGCCTGTTTAGGTCAAAATATATTTTCATTATATTCAATACAAATACAAAATAGTCCTTCTTATGTTTGTAAATTTTGTTCGAAAAATCGAATTTCAGAAATACTAGTGTACTGATTGGTGCACATACTTCATGTGCACCATTTAGTACTACACTGGTGCACAGCTTTTTATGATAAAGATTCTTGTTCTCGTGGCGAAATTTTGAAGGAGCTGCGAGAGGCATAACTTTCATTTAATTAGAAGCTAAGCATACTTTTATTTCTTAATTGAAAAAGCATATAATCTGCCTATTATTATTTTTCACAACATGAACTAGTAAATGTTTTGCAAATCTACAGATATCCGCATTAATTACATGTGATCATTTGAAGATATGTTAATAAAGGCTATTCATAGGCAGTATATTAGTTAACAAAGTATGGTCTCTGATCAAGATATACAGTTTCAGCCATGCGTGTGTCGGATTTGAGCAATACTTATGGGGTCCCACAAAAGTTTTGTAAATATTATGGGATCCTGGGGCCGCGACTGAAAAAAGTTAAAAAAAAAACCTGAGCTAGAAAATTGTACAGATTTCATACGTGATATTTACTGCAGAATTACTTGAAGAGTGACTATGATAATATATTTTGAAACTTTTAAACAAATAGCTTAAAAATGGACATTTTGCAAACGAGGCGGACTTTGTTCTCTTTCAGAGAGACTTAACAAAGATGAATCCAGCTCAGAACATAGAGTTCATCCAGTTATCCGGATAGAGCAAAATGTAAGAGATGTTATTCATCCAACACATAATATACCTTTCATAAATAGATTTTTAATGAATCATAATATGTTTTCATTCCAGAGAAAGGCGTAAATCATGAAATTTACAGATGACAAAAGACAACGAAAGCAATGGAAATAACCTAATATTTGTACTATCTCGTATCTAGAGAGACGCATGTTATCTCATTAAATGCAGTTTCAAGGTTCACTCATCTCGAGAAAACTGTAGAAATTAGAGTGTCGAAGCCACTTAATACTTTATTAAAAGCCATCTAAAATATTAGTATAAAAGAGGTAGTTTTGGTATCTCCCGATAATATTTCCGAAAGCCCCACAAGACTTCAGCACTGGACCATGCTTATGGAACACATTAGACAAAGCAGTCCTTAAAGCAGACGTCAAGGGAAACACTTTCATTCGATACGTATGGACTATTTCGTCATAACTACACCCAAAGGGAGATAGATGTGAATTCGAGAGCTGCTTGTAGAGTCTGGACAGAATTCTAAATTGAAGCATCGGATCTAATTAAAATTTACTACATAGACAAAGACGATATTGCTTATCAAGGGAATACATTTAAAATCCTTCAAGAATTATACTCCTGTTTGTGAGAAATTAATATATTGGTTATTTGACTTCTAAATAAGTATATTGGATTTATTCTCAAACGAAAGGTATATAATAAGAGAAGATAACATTCTAGAAGTAATAAAACCTTTAATTGAATGCACGGGAATACACTGTGATGCACATATCTTTTCACATCAGCGCCACATCATCAACAAACAAGATTCTCGGTAAACAGAAGAGCGTCTTCTGACGGGATTAAATGTTAACTTTTTCTTAACGTATTGAGGGTTTTTGCAACGTCCCTCACCAGATGATCTTATAAAAGTTATCACTATCTCATCATACAAAAATAATTCAAAATTAAAAATGTAACTTACACATCATGTAAGGTGATACAATGATAGGTGGTACAATTACCTAATGTAAGCATTAAAAAAAAACTCTACGAAAATAATCAAACATAATTAATAGCGTAAAATTCAAAAGTTACTCAGTATTGAATCAAATTACAAGTAGTAAATTATAAGCAATAATACAAGTAATTAAATAAAAGTTACATAAATATATGAATATATGAAATGTATGAATATTGAAATGTATGGATGAAATATGAAATATATGAATATTGAATAACATTTGCTGATTATATTCATTTCTTAGTCTGAAATTCAAGGGATTATTTTGATTGTACAGGTCCCTTCAAATCTTCGTTTTTAGTTTGCGCTAAACATGATCGTACAGAATCATGTTCTTTCAGGACTTGAATTATGTGACCCAAATACCATAGGAACTCTAATTTAATTGCTCTTTCTAGTAAAATTGTATCACTAACTTCATGAAATTTCTTAGTTTTAGGGGTACCGAAGAAATGAGCATTTCTTAAACCACGAAGATGCAGATATTTCTATTTTTTTAAAATATGTTCCATAAGTTTTGTCTGACATTTCTTTCGTTTCATTAGATTTTCACTTTGTTGGAGAAATATTCAGAACCTCTGCAAAGTTATATGGATATTTAGTTTAATGCCCGATCTATAGAAAATGAGCTGGTACAAGCGGCTGAATTTTATATAAATCATAATAATCATAAGTCAAAGGTCGTCTGTTTATTACTCGTATATTTTCGACATCCATGAGAACAGTCATAAATTCTTCAAATTTCAGTTAAGCTCTGCTAAAGATCTTTCTTAAGAACTGTTTAATGCTTTTCATAACGCTTTTGCGGAATCCTTCTCCACGCAAGCTCCATAGCAAATTTCGAAGCCAAGCCTTCGGTTCCTAGAAAATATTGGAAGTCTGCTGCTTTAATTATGATGTAAAAGTTTAAATGTTTTCGCGTTGTTCGAAAAGTGCGACGGTTCTCTCTTCTTGAGATAAAATGCCGGAGAGCCAAAATCAGTTTATTTACAGGAATATTGGAAACGAATGTCAGATGTAACCCTCGTGTAACAGCGTACGCGAATAATACAAGGTATGATATTTGGATATAAATTCGAAATTTGACGTAAATCTTTAAATCGGACTTCGTCCCAATTTGCTTAAGTTCGAACTGGTTTTCATCAAGAAACCGTGCTAAGCTGAATAAAGGAGATTACGAAGATACAGACATGTCAGATTGATGTGCCCTAATTTCAAGAGTGAAGAAATCTAACCGAGCTTTGCGAATACAAAATATTTCAGCGTATTTGAATTTCAGAAGCACTTAATGGGACACGGAAGGATTGCAAGAAGGATTTTTGCTCTTGTAATGAAACGTTTGATTCAAGCTACAATTCTAAGAAACTTCAACACGTTACTGAATTTCTTTAAATGTAATAATTGTTTGTCTCATTTTACAACAATATCTTACAGCAGCGCTGTGATTATTGTTAATACTTTTCATTCGATTAGTTCATGAAGTATATTTATTTCGGTTATTACCTAGACAAATAGAACCACGATTGCTTTCGCTTTTTTATTTGAAACAAAGTTTCTTAAAACGACAGATATTACTAATGTGATACCTTTTGAAATAATTATTAATACGTTTATCATTCTTTGAAATTTGTAGATTGTTTTGAGGTGACATTTTACATTTAAACAAATTGTGTGGGGCAAAGTAGAAAATACATGTAGACTGAGTCATCTGAGTATTAAATGCTGTCACAGTTGAGTGTACCTTTATTGCACATCCTCTTCACGAAAATGTTTAGAAACTGAAGCTTTGTACTCGTATTTTTTCGAGTTTTACATCTTCAACTATAAAGATTCTCAGTAAACAGAAAAGGGTCCACTGACAGTGTTAAAATTATTTTATTGGGGTTTTTCAGCAGAGGGAAACCATTCTACAGAAAAACCACAGAAATTTATGAGTGTTAGAAACAATATTATTAATAAATGGATGCAGTGCGTGGTAAACGGAAACACCAAGTCTAAGTGCAAAATCATTTCGAATGCAAAGAACTGCTCTTTTATATAAAACAAAAGACTTTTCTCCAATATGTATCGTTGGTTTATAGATTTTGCAGCACAGCGCTCTTAAACCTAGAAGAAGGAGCAGCAAAACTTATCGATTAATTCAAAGAAACAACTGAAATAGGAGGTCTTAGGACATACAGCCAGATGAAACGATAAGGCATACTTTGCATCTACAGAAGTTTTTGGCACTCTTCTATTAACAGGGCGTCTCTTAGCGCTAAAAATAAGTGTGCTGCGAAATTTAACTAGAGATAGAAATGGCAAATCTAACAATATATACAACAGCATTTTGCAGCTTCAGTACGGTTTATTTGATTGCGGCAAAACACTCAAAGGGAAGGGGCGCATTCGTAAATAACTTTTCAAGGAAAAAAGGTTTGTATACACATGAGGAAAACCTCGAAAACGCTTATGCAACCAACTCGTTCATTGGGATTCGAACCGAATAATGAGTTTCAACGACTTTACCCCTCGGCTGCTGCTTTCAGTACAGATGATACCTTTTGTTTTGAAACAATTAATTTATCTTCATTTGACAACCGCTGAACTGCATAA